ATATATATATATATATATATATATATATATATATATTAAACAGAAAACAGAATTAGTATTTTTATCTACTATATACCACAGCTACTTGTTGTAACAGATAGTTAAATGTATTTTAATCATGTTAGTGAATATTTTTTTTTCTTTCATATGGGTTAAGTATTTACATTAAAATTTAGTACAAAGAATATATATAATCCCTTTTTTATCTTGGACAAAAAATATAAAAATTTAATAACAGGTTTTTAATATAATATTTCTACAAAACTATTTAGTCATAGATATTTATTTAAATATGTGCTATGGAAATTTTTCATTATATAAAAGTGAGACTATTGATTACTTATACAGCACTACTGCCCGCTGCGAGCCTTTGATTTGCCGAACAACATCTTTCCTAATTTTGGTTTTTGAACTCCAGTTTTTCACTTGTAAGGTGGTTAGGTCTTTGGTGGTTTAGTCCAACCATATTTTCCTCTTGGTGTAGAGTTTAAAAGTTTCCTATTTATAGAAGATTATTATCATTTAAAAAAGTAACCCCAATCTTCCATTATCCTTTATTTTGAGTCATTTAAGTGTATTATTTATTATATTTATATTTTTCTTCGTGAAGGTACTTTTGTCTTAACAAATACTGTAATCAGTAGAAAAAAATAAATGCTTAGATAAAATAATAATTGGGGGTAATGAAACAAACTACGATCTAATAAATGATCCTCTAATTTTTTTTCACAGGTACGAGTTACTCAGAAAATGATCACAGATGATGGATTAGCTACTGAACAAGATATTCGATGCCTTGAAAGAGGGGATTACTTTGGAGAACAAGCTCTACTGAGGTATATAATAAAAATATATGGATATCAATTAAGCTCAAAGCTAAGCTAAAAAATTTATCATATAATAGAAACTAATAATTTATTCCAGATTTGTATAATAAAATAGGTATAAAATGTAGTACAACAGTTATTCTTTTTGCTTTAATTTTTTTATTATAACATTTACGCGAAAAATTAAATCGTAAAAATATTATAAGTGCAGGGCACAAAAAATAAACGAAACACCATCTGATGATCCAATTTTCATCTATTTTATTTTTATTTTATAACCGTCGTTGAACAGCAGACCCAATTTTTGGGTTTACGACTATCAATGTTCAACTCCGTAGCCTTGTAATTTTGAACCCAATCCAGAAGACAAGGGAACTCCTGGATCAAGTGTTGGGAGAAATTTGCCTTCGTGGAGGACTTTTTTATGGAACTAACCCGTATTTGCGTTACTTGGAAAGAAATACCACGAGAACCTCCCACGGTTAGCCTGAAGTCAAGGGGACTCTGACCCATGATCCGTCTACCACTGAGGATATTTCACGTCAGCACTGTGGTCGGTGCAATCCAGATTCGGAATTCGTATCGACCAGCCATCGCCGGGATCGAACCCCGGTTCACCTGATTGGAAACGAAAGCTCATGCCATCGCAAGAATTTACATCGCAGGAATACATTGATTTTCATCTATTATAGTACTCAATCTAAATAATTTGGAGAGGTGACCTCAGATATGCTAATTACAGCCGTGGTGGCCCAATAAGGCTAAGGCAAACGCCTTCCAATGAGGTAAGCCATGTTCTGATCCCAGCGGTGGCTGATCGATACATAACCAGCCCCCAGATCTCACTGACCACAGTGATGACTTAAAAATATCCTCATTGGTAGATGGATTGTAAGTTGCATTCCCCTTGCTGTCAGGCTAACCATGAGAGATTTCGAGGTTTTCCTCTCCTTAGTAACGCAAATGCGGGTTAACTCCATCAAAAAGTTCTCCACGAAGGCAAAATTTCTCCCACTACTTGATCCAGGAGTTCCCTTGTCTTCTGGATTGAGTTCAAAATTACATGTTTACGGAATTGAACATTGATAGTCATAAACTCAAAAATTGGGTCGGCTGTTCAACAACAGTTGTCCAGTTATTATAAAAATATGCTAATTAGTTAGTGCAGGTGATATTTTAAGTTACGCGAACTTATAACTATAATTAAGTAAAAGAAAAAAACGTACTTTCTCTAAATAAGCATATCTTTCTTTCAAGGAATTATAATTCCTGGGAAATATAACTCTAATAATTTGGTCAGACGAGGTTTTCAAAGTTTGGACCCCTTAATGCTAATTTTTTTTCTATATATTTCATCATTTCTCGAGATTTTTTTAAGCGAATTGCGAACTTTTAGTACAAACTTATAAGATCTATTTATCCAAACATTATTCCAGGCAAATAAATAATCTTTAAGAAGTATTTATTATCTTGTTATCAATGGTCAAAACAATTTTGATTTGTAATGTAGGCAAATTTTTACATCATTTTAAATAATGCAATTTATGTGGCAAAATACAAAATTTTTACGAAATCAGTCGAATAATTCTAGAATAATTCTCGAGAAATCAAATTTTTTTAAAAAGTTGGATATTTAAATTTCGATTTCTCGGGAGCTATTATACCAAAAAAAATAACTAATTCCAGAATTATGAAGAAAAAAAACAGTTTTAACATAATAATAATTGAAAACTGAATTATACTTCAGTAAGTTTATGTGAAATACCTCACAAATGTCAAATATATGTGAGTAATCTGGAAATATATATATTTAAATGCATGTTTATTATACTATTTCCCTAAATTTTAATTTTTTAGTAACTGTGCATAGTTTATTATAAAAACTCTTTTTTATTAAATAACTTCCTTGTTAGTTTTTATTTTATTTCCAATGAGCTGCATTATCGGTTTTGCCGATGAGCAGATCTAGTGCGTTCTCCAGAGGTGGTATCCACTCTTTCAGGACCACCACAATGGGTGAGATACCGTTGGTCATGTTAATTTGGACGTCTAGTTTCTGCCACACTAGATGGCAGCACCGAGACTCTATTTGGATGCTAAAGTGCACTAAGAATTTTAATTTTGCCGGAAATGCCAAGAGCCAATAAGGCACTCCAGGGATCTTCTACATGCCGCATAATCATACGACATGGCCGCTGAATAATCCTTGTGAAGTAAATCATAAGAAAAATTTTGATTTTAAAGGAAGCATTTTTTAGCATAATAAGCAAACAGTAAATTTTGCAATTGAAACATGTAGACACCTTGCATCAATAAAAAAACTCTTTTTCATCTGGATTTTTTTCTAACATTAATTTGATTATATAGCAGTGGCTGAATGATTTTGAGAAATATTGAATGGTATTTTGAGGCCTCGCGTAATTTTGAGGATCAAATATCCAAATTCGCCGGAAATGTACTATGTTTATTCGATTAAGTAAGATTTAGTTCCCTGTTTTGTTTCTTAAATCATTGAATGCTCTATAGCATGTGTGTTTCTACTCTTCAACCATTAAGATAGTGACTATTGAAACAAAAATTACTTTAGAAAGCATTTATTAGATCAAAGGTCATTACGCAGTTTGCAGATAATATTGCACTTCGACAATATAGTAAGAAAATATTTGCATTTAATAAAACTTTTTTTTAGTACGTGACTAAAAATTTGGGTGTTTTGAGATATATCAGCATCTTTCTGTGAGTGAGATATTTAAATCAATTTTTTACATCGATTTAATTTTTACGATTATTAAATCGATTTTTAATGTCCGGAAGTTACATTAATATGCTAATTGCTGAATCCAAATATCGTTTAAATTCAAATGTTTTTAACGAAACATTTAAAGGTACTGGTATGACCTCGTGAAAAATGTGACAGTCGAAGCTTTCAAGCTAGTAACAGTTCTATTTGTGAGAAAAATAAAATATTTGTTCTTCTTTTCTGCTTTTAGAGAAGATAGGAGAACAGCAAATGTAATTGCAATGGAACCTGGTGTGGAATGCTTAACCCTTAATCGAGAGTAAGTATAAAAAAAGATAATTTTTTAACTGCGATTTCAACTAATGTAATCACTGTAGCATCAAGGCTGAAGTCTGCTTACATAATTTTTTGAGCATAATTGAATTAATATATGAAAAATAAAGTCATCTTTTCAATAGCTGCTTGTGACAATTTTTTCTACAAAGTCTCAATCGGCATACAGTTTTAAAGATTTTAAAGTAGTAAACATTGACCAATTATCGGTATTTAATTGTTAGGACGTTTTCTCTGTATAAAATTATTTTTAACATTTCACGTGTTCCACAACATCCCCAACTATCAAAATTAATTTAAACAAAGCCAAAATGAAAAATAATTGATATTAATTATTTCATCAAAGAAAAAAACAAAGCATCTTTCGCGATAAGATTATAAAATTATAATTTTTTTAAAGAAAACAATCAAACACTGTTTATTTAAAAAAAAGTAATAATGCATGAGCTTTTGTTTCTCACTATCACTTTAATTATTTAACAATTTTCAGTTTTTTTCAATCTATAAAAAATTAGAAAGTAATGCATAAAAGCTTCTGTTGTGTATCAATCTGCATAAAATGAAGTCGAAAAAATTATAACAAGTGTCTAAGTCTAAATACAAGAAAATTATTTAAATTACAAAAGGCTTTTTCGTAGATTATTATTTCTTCAAAATTGTTTTAAAATATTTAGAAAGAATCTATTGGGAAGAAGAATATTTATGCAAATAAAAAAATAGAGTCGTATATTACAAATACAGTAACTCCAATAATAGTTAGCATTAATTACAATAGCTTGAATCATATATTTATAATTATTCTTGCATTAAAGATTACAGCTTAATTACAGGAAAAATAATTCATTAGATCGAAAGGTACTTTAGGTGATTCGTTTGTTTTTATTCTTCCAAATGTTTATAATAAAAGTTAATCTGGTTTTAATCAAGTACTTAAATTCAACTCTTTCATAACTTTTACAATGCCTTTGCTTTGCTATATTTTTGTTAAATTTTTTTTATTGGGAGCATTTCTTTATTTTATTCTTTTTTTTCTTTGGTTGACTACCTTTTTCATCTTGATTTTTATAGTTATCAGGTAAAGCAATTTTTTTTCTCCATGTCCAATTACCATACTCCATGGTAATAAACCAAAATATAAGGTATTTAAACTACTCATTTGGCAATTTTTTCGATCATTGGTAATTTTTTGCGGAAGCGATTTACGAGAAATTCTGGTTTTCAAAATTATAGTTCTTATTACCTCAAGTTTAGTAAGAAGTACAACCCCAAAAAGGTAAATTTAACTGAATAAATGGTTTTTATGCCTTGCTCTAAGGTATCATGATAAAATTACTAAATTTTACCACATTTACTAAATTTTATCACATTTTATAAAACTATATTTTATTATTAATTTCATAAAAATCATTCCCAAGGTGCTACTTTAACAATTGTCCAGCTCTTTATCATGCCATACATCCAAAAACACGGTAAATTTTACCATATTCTGGTACTATTGATCATACTTTTTTTCTCGGTGTATAAATAGAAGACTTATTTCAAGAAATAGAAATTTTTTTAGTTTACTTATTTTAAGTTATCTCAAATATTTTAAAAGGAATAAAATTCCATTTTAATGTTTATAATTTCGTTTATCATTTTCAACTCAAACTGTTACATTTTTAAATTTGGTAGCTTGAAATTGTTTTGCTGCAATACTTTCATTTGAAGAAATTATTTATTTTCAGATCTTTCATTCAACTTATTGGAGATCTGCAGGAATTACAAACAAAAGATTATGGAGATGAAGAAAGAATAAGGAGGTATTTATTTTTTATTAAGAAGATACAATTACATTAGAAACACTAAATCGAAACAGAAACAATTAATTCTTTCAAACGCATGATTTTCTCTTCAGTTTTTATCATCAGAAAATCAAATTTTTTTTTAGTTTGTAGTTAATAAATCATTTATAAAAATAATAAAGTAACAAAATAAAAGAAAATAAATTCAAACTCATTTTTGCACAAAAAATTCTCATACGAAACAATTTAAAATTTAATTATTTTTTTTTTAAATTATCATCTTCTTGTTAAGTTAGTTTATTTTTTTTTATTTGTTTGTTACTAAGACACGTTTCTTAATTTTTATTTGAACAGATATTTGTTCAAATTGATTTTAGTGCATTTTTATACGTAAATTATCAAATGTTCTACATTTTATTTATTTATGAGTTTAAATTTTGCTTTATCTAAAATTATATTTATTATATCTCAAATTTTATTACACAAATAACATTAGTGAGTTTCTCACTGAAGCTTTTTGTAACTACCTGAGATCATCATATCTTACTAGACTTATGATTTTAACCCTCAATTATTGCATGTGCGTTAACGCAGCTAATTGAATTGATCCTTAGTTAATTAAACGAAGTGATTATATCCATTAATGTTAAAATAGATGTACTAATATTTTAATTATTAAAACGAATAGAATGCCTTCTTCGCAAATTAAAAGTAAGTGAATTTCGGTCATACCTAACCCAAACAAGATGTAACTTAACCGAATAAAGATAATTAGAAAATACATAATAATCATTAGAACGATAAACAAATAAAATTTTATGCTAGTAATGATTAAAAAAATTTAATCATAAATAAAATAAATTTTTTTTAAAATTTAAATTTTGATGAACTGTTAGAATTATCATTCCAAAATTACGGTTAAATAGCCGGTAGCAGTCTGCCTGTCCAATTTACTTTAAAGTTTACGGTTAAGAACACTTTTTAACTATACGGTTTTGAAACGATTTACAACTAATATGGTTTAAAAACCATAATTACAAAACTATGCGATTTTTAAGCATCTACTCTGGAATGGTTTTAAAACCGTAAAAAAGAAATTTAACTGGGCATAGGAGGTAGGCTGTGTATTTTGAAATGGGCATTGGAGTTAAGTTGTGTTTTATCACATGAACCGTGGAATATGGTTTAGTTAATTTATCTAGTTGTTTCACCTATCGTAAGATATGGAAAGTGCTAGCCTTTTTTTTGTGTTAAGTAGCTTTATGGTGTTGCCATCCACGCGTGAATTAGAGTATCGTATTTTAATAGTCCAGGGTCACACATTGGGGAGCGCAAGACACTGGAAACTCTTCATGGGTATAGATGAAATATTGTGGTGTCAACGCTGGGACTCGAACCCCTGTTCTGTCGTTCATGAGATTGACAGATTAACCCTCTCGGCTAAGTATACCCAGCAGCAGGAAACTAAGGGGCTTCATTAGGTGGACCCAGTTGGTGCAATAAAATTCTGGTTATTTAACCGTATTAGGTGAAAGTAGTTAACGGTGAAGGTTTTTCTCTCAGTTAACAGTTTGAATATCATTTTATTTAGGGTTATTTGTTGGAATTTTGTGAAATAACAATTAAATAAATAACCATTTTTTTCAAAGAAATTTATAACAGTGTACAGCAATCTAACAAACATATTTTCTCTAATTTTTAAATGTTGTTTTCAATTAAATATAATGTTATTGATTCATCCATAGGATTTCTAATTTGTCATCAACTCCTATGAGTGTAGACGAAGAATACAAACATATACTGTTGGATGATCTTGATGTTTTAGCGACTCTCGGCGTTGGTGGTTTTGGTAGGGTTCAGCTAGTAAGTAGACATTTTTTATGATTTTAATGTAAATACTAAGTTATAGTTTTCATAGTTTCTAAAATTAGATTTTTCAATGCCAATGTGAAATCTGTCTTTCTCTGTGGATTGGAAACAAGACACTGCAATAAAAATAACGTAAAAAAATTCTTCAAATTGTTATTAACAACAGTTTAAGAGGAATCTCATGTTTAAGTAATTCGATAAAATTCGCGAAATAAATTCTTAGAACTACGAAGCCGAAACCAATCGAACTAAAAATTAAAAAACGTTAATCGAAATGGATTAGTCATGCTCTAAGTAAGTCTGGGAAGTTTAAAGTGAAATAAGTTTAGACTTGGAGAGAAAAGCCTAAAACAACTTGGAAAGGGCAATCTGCAAGACATGGAAACACTACATCTGGATACAGATAGAGTAAGATAGAGAGCATTGGATAGAGACCCTATAATCCAGTTCGGAGTGGAGATGAACCGATCATAAAATTGCAATCTACAATGGTTGCATCTGAAACAATTATTAGTCGTTTCAGGTGACTGAGCCATCTTTCAATGTATATAATAAATTTAAAACAAAAATAAACCCCTAGAATCCCGATAATCGTTATGCATTTAAAAAGCTTTAAAAATTTTAAAAAGAATTATCTTTGGCTAAAAGTTTTGTTTCTTTAATTTGTAAACTTTGCAGTTAGAAAAAACTTTATGCTTACGATAAAGGATTGAGCTTTAGATGCTTTAAATATATGTTTTATTTGCAATTGATTTACTTGTGATAGAAACATTTTCATTATTTTTATTTTATTTGTTATCCTTGATTAATTTTCATCTGCTGCGACCTGTTATGATTTTTTATCTTCAAATAAAATCAAAAAATTTCAAACTTTATTTACAAAAATATAGATTGTGCACATTTGTTTGGATTATTTTAAATATTTGTCATATTTTCTTTCTCATAGGTACAATACATTTATGATAGGAAGAAAACCTTTGCTCTTAAAATTCTGAAAAAAAGTCATATAGTGGAAACACAACAACAGCAGCATGCTTTGAGCGAAAGGGCAATTATGATGTCTTGCAAGCATCCTTTTATATGCAGGTGAATTTCTAAAATATGAATGAAGAAAAAATCGATATAAATCAATATGACAATCAATGCCAAAAACCAATATTATTGCTTTTGGCATTGATCAAGAAAAAATGCAAACGTTGTTATATTAATTTCATTGTTTTGCTTTCAATTTAAAAGGGAAATTCAAATAGTTTGTTTCTGTAAAAAAACCACAGTTTTGTGCATAAAATATATTGATAACAAAAATTAAGTTACGAAAAATAAAAAATTAAATAAAGACAGCTCACTAATTTCATTGAAAAATGTCTCTTCTGGAATCCGGGGGAAACTTTATGGATTTATTGTTCCTTTTAACGTTCGAATAATAACAAAATATTGAAGATATAGATGTTAAAACAATGAACATGTCATTGTTTATAAATTTCTAATTGTCTAACAATTGATAGATTTGAAAAACCAACTTTTTAAAGTGCTTAAACCAGTGGTTCACAAAAGATGTTCCGTGGAACTCTAAAATTACATGAAAAGATAACAGCAGTTCTTAAAATTAGGAATTTTTAAGCAATAATAATTTTATTTAGAGCCTATCAATAATCCATAATTTACTATTTCGGTTATTTGTATGAACTTATTTATATAAAGTGCCTATGAAAAAAGTAACAAGAAAAAATTTTTATTAATAACAATAAATTGAATTTATCATGAAAAAGATTTGCATTTGTAAAGAATAAAATAAATATTTCTCATCAAACTTTCCAATTCAAAGTAGAATAACTAAAATCAAGAATAAGGACTGCGCTTCTTTGATTAATTTTACTCAATTTTTATTTTTTGAAAGTCATAACTCAGCTTATTTCATTCATTTTCAGCATATGCATACACTGAGAACAAATTCATTTAAATATTTCATTCTTCGCACGAAATATTTTCAAAATAATTAAAAAAAATTTCTTTTTGTTAGTATATTTACAGCTGCTAAATTTCTTTTGTAATTTTGGACTTCCGTCGAAAGAAGCTCAATTATTTAGGATTCCATAACTGAAAAAAATGACTTAAACATTTTTTAAGACAGTCACTTTGGACAAAAAATCACAATGTTAAAAAATAAAATCGATTTTAAGTGACGAGAACTTTTTGATAACGTTTCAATTCACTTTTTAATTTAAACTTCCTCCATTATTACATCATATATTTTTCAATTGTATAGTAGTGGTAAATTTCTCTTGGTGTTTAAGATAAACTACGATTATTATTATTATTATTACGATTGAGATTATTATTATTATTATTATCGTATATTAAAGGGAAGTAAAAATTTATTTTTAAAGATTTTTCTGTGATTCGCTTAAAGATTCTTATGGGTTTTAAATCATTTTAGAAGTTTATATCTTTATTTATATTTCATGATAAAAAAAGATAAAATATAAGTTTTAATAACGAATTATTAAAAAAATTGTTTAATAGAATACTTTTCTTTTAGAATGTACAAGACATTTAAAGATGATAGATATGTTTTCATGTTGATGGAAGCCTGTTTGGGTGGCGAAGTATGGAGCATACTACGTGACAAGTAAGTTTCAAATAATATCAATAGTCTCAATACAGGTACTACAATGAGTTAAGGGAAAAATAGAATACCTGAATAACTTTTGGTCAAATTATCAGATTTCCACGAGCTCAGATGCAGTCTTACTTATCATATTTAAGGTTATCCTCTCAAACCCTTAATATTGTATGTTAATATATAAAAAACACTAAAATGCAATCTTAATTAACATATTTAAAGATTAACCTCTCGAGCCATCAAGGATTTTTATGTGTTAAGAGATTGTGTCTTAATACACAAAATTACAATTGTTACTTCAAAATTTATTTAATTTGCTTACTTTATATTGCCATAATATTTCGATGTATATGTTTTCAATATGTTTTTAGTTCAGAAGGAACTAGTTTTTTAGAATGTAAAAGTGATTTAATTTTCCTTTCGTCTACCAGATAAAATAATCTTCTTTCTTATCGTTTCAAAGCATTTTTTCTTTGTCTAAGGAAATAAAGATATTTCGTAAAATAGATTTACATCTCTAACGCCTTTTTCCGTTTTTTGTGGGTATCACTATGTTTAATTACGCTACGTCTCATTCATAAACACATACAGTCATACATTTATAAGCACATACATCATTTACAAGCACAAGCTGAATTTTGATAGGTTATATTCGTCGGTGAATGTGGCGATTGCGAAACCTATAATAAAAGTGAGTTTTGTTTTTCTCCTGAAATTATTCTTGATTTTCATAAAATATCTCTGAAATACGTTCTAAAGTTAAGTTGTAAAGTGGGATGAAGCTTACATGTTCGGAGAACTCTCGAGTATTAGTAGTCAGAACCTTTTTGTATTGATTTTAAACCTCTGAGGAAAAATAAATAAGAGAAGGTCCTGATTTAGTTACATCCGCCTACGTCAAAAAGAGATTTTGAATTCAAATTCAGTTATTTTGTTTATTCGAATTTGTCGTATTGCTAAAAATTCCTCATCACCGAGAGCATAATGTTTTTGAGATCAGAAGATGATGCTTTTATTTGAGAGATTTTGAATGATTTTTTTTTNTTTTTTTTTTTTTTTTTTTTTTTTTTTTTTTTTTTTTTTTTTTTTTTTTTTTTTTTTGCAGGATAAAGCTCTGCTTTAAATTTCTTAAAAGCACGCGCTTTGAACTTTTATTTAAATATCCTATGTATACTTCCTTATTTGCAATAAGCATAGTTTGAAACTATGATTTGAAGTTATTGTGGTATTAATAATACGAAAATAAAACATCTTGTGTTTGTAAATACACCAAATAGAGCTCACTACACGAATTAAAATTATGTAATTCTTAAGGATATGTTATGTAAGGATTTTGGTATTTTAAAATCTTAAGAAGTTGAAAATCTTTGTATAATTTATTTTCTTTCTTTCCTTCTTTCTTTTTTCCTTCTTTCTTTCTTACTTTTTTTTCTTTTTCCTCTTCACACCCTCTCTTTTGTTCAAGAAGAAAAATTGTACTTTATGATTATCGTACTTCATTATTGATGAATTATTGTACTTTATGATAATGACATTCGTTTGATAATTTTTCCGCTTTTATGGTAACGGTTTACCGGAAAATCTGGCTTTTGAAATTAAAGTTCCTATTATCACACATTGGTTGGTTGGTTGGTGTCATATCCTCTATAGAATCATATTTCATGGTGTGCTTGAATAGTTTTTGTTATTTCTATGGCATTAAAAGAATACAAATCCTCTTCTGTGGGGTAGTTTAAGAGGTGAAGGCCTGCAGCGACTGCAGGGCAGTTAAAAACATGATATGGTGTCAGTTCCACATTAAGACAGTTGCCACAGTTTTGATATTTTCTAGTCTTATCTGTAGAAATTTTCATGTTTTTATGATGTTTTGTTCTTAGTCTGATGAGAGTAGTGGCTGTCTTCCTATCGATGTCAAGATTAGTTATTTGATCGTGGCTTTGATTTTTAAAGGGGTGAATAGTCTTGACTTTGCATAAGCATTTGCATCTGCCAACGTGGTTGGGATTGAATTTTGATTTAGATTATCACACATTTAATACCAAATATAAAACTGAAAAGTAAATTTAACTGAATAAATGGTTTTTAGGCCATGCTCTACTAAAGAACATAATAAAATCACCAAATTTTACCATACTTACCAAATTTTAATACAGATTATAAAATAATATTTCATTATTAATTTTACCAAAATCATTATCAAAACACTTCGATAAAAATTACCGAGCCTTTTGGATTTCCCATAGAGCCAGGAACCCGTTAAATTTTACCATATTCTGATGGTTTTGACCATACTTTTTCCTCAGTGTTTTGCTTTCTTAACTGCATAGTGTCATAGAGAAATGCTTTTTTTTTAAAAAAAATAATCTGAAGCTCGCTTCTAGAATCCAAATAATAAATGATAACAGACTAGGCCAGGGGTGGCGAACCTTTATACACCAACGTGCCATTTTTTCCAAAAAATTGTTTAATAAAAACGTACCGTCAAAAAATTTTGACTTCATGATTATTGGGAAAATAATAATACTAAATACTATCAACTTAAAACTCTTTATTTACATTGAAAAGAAAATACATTTTGCAATGTGTCAGTTATACACGTAATTCAACTTAAAGTAGCATCAGTGAGACTTCTGTTATTGCAGATTAAATGACAAATAACTTATAGGTTGTAAGATATTAGTTTAAGCAGGACTGTTGATTTTTTTTTTTGCTAGTTATTTATTGCTAGCTTGTTTTTTATGGTAATTAATTGTTTTTTAGCATTAATTGTTAATTTTTTTATTAATATTTGTTTATTATTTTGTTTTTTTGTGAATTTTAATTTAATTGTTACAAAGCTTCATAGTGTGTGACATTTGTGTAATAACAATTCATAGTGCTATAACAATTGTGAGCGGTGGCGTGCCCAAAATATTGTGTAGCGTGCCATTGTTTCGCCTTCCCTGGACTAGGCTAATTCCATCCTAAGGCGTATATGAAAATCCGATAAATAGGAACTAACAAAAATTAATACTATGTTCAGAATTTCGTAAAGAAGACAATAATTTTCTGTCTTTATTTCTCGTTTAACAAACGTCTAAATCTATCTATATAAAAATGAAAATAGTTTAAAGCAGAATTATATGACAAGCATTAAATACGTAGTGATACAATAAGGAAATAAGATCTATGAAGATATATAAGAATCCACGAAGGATATTTATAACTTAAAGAATGCTTCACGTACTTAAATAATCCTAACTTTCAAATTTATTTCAATCAACAGTTTTATTTATGCGCAGTAAAAAATTCCGGTTCAAATTACTGTTAAGAAGTACTACAGGTACCCTGAGTACGGGTACTTTTTACCGTAAAATCCATTTTTACCGGAACATGTTATGGAACAAAAAAAAACTGATATACCGCAATTTTCACAGCAATAATTACAGTAAAATCACTAAATCACTCGAATTAAAGAAATATTAATACTGTAAAAATTACGGTACAATATTTTATGGTAAAAATGGATTTTACGGTTGATGGATTGTCAGTATTGTATACCGTAATTTGATCCGGGATTATTTACAGTGTGCATACATTTGGCTACTTTTAGGGGCTGCTTCGACGATCATACGACACGATTCATCACAGCTTGCGTTACAGAAGCATTGGAATATCTTCATCAAAGAAACATCATCTACAGAGATTTGAAACCAGAAAACTTGTTATTAGATGAATATGGATACGTGAAATTGGTATACAAGAGCATTGTATTTATGATATTCAAACTAAATATGTGTATTGAATGTGAATTGTTGTAAATATATTAGCAGTTAAGACTAGATAAATTTTTAAATCGAGACTTTTTCTAAGCACATAATTTCAAAATTACAGCTCAGGTTTTCTTGATTTTTTCGCTTTCATAGAAATTCGTTGATTTGTTCGTAGATATGGCTTTTTAACATGTAAGATTCTGTGTAGCAGGTATTAGTGTTTTCTAATAAAATGGAAATTGTGGCAAATTTATGGAATTAAAGCTAGCTGAAATAGATATTTGGCTACCACTTTAAAAAAAATTGCACCTTGGCATTTCATTAAAAATACATAAAAATGAATTAGATTTTGTGTAACATGAAAATCGTTCAATAAGTTCCTAGAAAAAAATTTAAAAATTAATTTTGTATGTTTTTTTTTTATTTTGCAATATACCCTCCTTTTAGCTGGACACATTTTCTTCAGCATTTCTCAAACTTTGCTAAGCATTCTTCAAAACAAGATCTCGCTAGATCCTCGAAATAGGGCTCATTTAACGTGAATTTTATTTTGAGTCATTTTTTTTCAAGTTTCGAAATGAAGTAAAAAAGACACCACAAAAAAGATGCTGTAATAATTCATATACTATTTCTATAATTATTTGTCACTAACCGATTCAACACTCCACTCTCCTTTAGAAAATGAACTTTAAGTATTCCTTTATCCAAAAATATATAATTAAATGTGCGAAGCGTGTTCGAAAAGTAAAGACACTTCGATAACAGCAAAGGAAAAGTTTCTGTGAGTCCGTTGGCAACACGGACTGTAACTTTAGACATTTAGCTTTTCTCTCTAAGTCATTCGTTATTTTTATGGTGAACCTTGTATGAGCAGCAAGTCTTTATAATGTCTGCTTCAATTCTGAACCCCGACAGTTGTAAAGTGCATTCCATAATACGCTTTCTTCGTGTTCGCAAAGGGTCCTTAAAAAGGGGTACAGAAATCATGCAATTCAAAACAAACGTAGTGACTTGATGCATGACAACGCTTCTCTTCACACAACACTTCAAACCAAAGCACCACTCAAAGGTTTCAAATAGGAAATTTTAGATTGTTTGCCATACAGACCAGACCTTGCACCCAGCGATTTTCACTTATTTCTTTACTTGAAAAAACATCTTGCAGGACAAAACTTTCATGTTGATGATGAGATCAAAATGAAGTTGAAATATGGTTCCGACAACAGGTAGCAAAGTTCTATGGGTTTGGAATAAAAAAGCTGGACTCAAAAAATACTTTGACAATGGTGGCAACTCCGTCAAAAAAAAAGCATGCACCAGTAAGCAATATGTAATGAACGTTTAATTAATTAAGGCTTTTCTTAATTGAGTATGCAGCATTGTATCTTGTTATTATTCTTGCACTGAGTGTTATCTTTTGGTTTTTTAAGGACTTATTGAACGTTCTTCGTACATTAATTTGGCTTCAAAAACATTAATAAGGAAACAGTCCATCTACTTTCTTATCAAGAAAAAATTAAATACGGCAGTTACCGAAAACCTTAAGTTCTTTCATTCCATACATTAAAAACCAACAATACAAGACGATATTAAATTTCAAATAATAATATTATACATCATTATTTTTAATAATACTGAGTTTTTGGCAAAATGGAGATCTCTCAAAATTAGAAAACTAGTTTTTTACTAAAAATTAGTTTTCTTTGGCTTCATTTAATTAAAATTATATTAATAAAAGCATTTCTTCCACGCTGATATTATTTTATAGCTAATGTAAAGTTTTAAGAAATATTTAGCTGATAAGATAAAGTATCTCCTAAATAAGCAGGGAACCCGTTTCAAAAACACTATTTCAGGAAAAGCGATATGGATCATGCAACTTAAATATCGTTATTTTAATACCCAAATGCATTTATGATATGAAAATTTCTTTTTCAAATATTTTTGAATTCAAATTCACAAGCGCGTTGTTCTTATATTCAATTATCTATTTTTTTAAAATATTTTTACAAATCTGCGAAAATTCATGCAATAAATAAAGTGTCCCAAGATTATTAGAACAAACTTTAAATGGAGGTAGGGGACATCACAAGGATTCAGATTTGCATAGCAACCCATGGTCGGAAACGTTTTCGTAAGCAGCTATTTGGTGTTTTTCACCAGAGGTTTGGAAGAAAAAACCCTGAACACTCTGCTGTCTGCTGACTCAATGTCTGATTCCAAGGGAGTGCTCATGGTGCGGTTTTGAACGTTCATGGAACCAAACTTTCCCAGTTTCACCTTCCAGCCGGGAATCTTCATTCCATTCCTGGTAGCTCATGGTAGGGCCCCCGGACGGATTTCTTTTTTTAGGGTGCACTGAAAAGTGATGTGTACGCAACACCAGTGAATTTCGAAATGGATCTGATTGCAAGAATTGCCTTTGCTGCTGCAGACAGCCAACAAAAACAAAATCGGTTATATTTGAGCTCGTTCGCCAATCTATAGCCTGACGATGTAACGACTGCATTGCTGCCAATGGCGAAAACTTTGAACATCTTTTGTTTTCACATATCATCTACCACAGCGCATGTAGATTTCAGTCGTGTGTCAATTTGTTTTTGTATCTGTCATACTACTTTCCCCTGACCATGGGTTGCTATTAGGACTGGGCGATATTAGAAATTATCTATCGTAATGCATCGTCAGTTTTGCAACCCGATATAGCGATGTATCGCGATATAGTAGTTTTGAATTTCATTTACTTGTAAGGCACAGAAAGTCAGATTTCTATCAACACTTCATACTCAGATTGATTTAAATCAATTTATAAATTTGAAGATTTATGTTTTGCTTAAGAAAGATATTAAATAAATTGACTACAATGTACAAATCTTATTTAAAATATTTATTGAAATGTTTGTTTGGAAATTCATAATACGCGTAAAACAAAGTGTTAAAAACTTTTTTTAAAAGTTTTTTACAAATTAATATAATCTTGTACTATTATGCATAAATAATTACATAATTATTAAGTTCGATCGCAATGTTCAATTTCTAAGTGAAACGTTAAAAAATAAATTTTAGAAAAAAAAAACACTTTTAAAACACTGTTTTTTATTATTATCATTTCAATTATTATAGTTCTATTATAGTTCATTTACGTCACAGTAGAGCTGCACAATGGGCTATTGGTGACGGTCTGGGAAACATCCCTGAGGATGATCCGAAGACATGCCATCACAATTTTGATCCTCTGCAGATGGGATGGCACCCCCGCTTCGGTAGCTTGACGACCTGCACGCGAAGTCGAGCACTTTACGGTATAACAGTTTAACGAGAGACCCTCGGTCCCTACGCAGACTGATCCAAGTGGTCACTCACCCGCACACTGACCGCAGCCAGTGATGCTTAACTTCGGTGATCTGCAGGGAACCGTGTCTTAACTATCAGTCCACTGCGGGACCTTATCATTTCAGATAAATAATTAAATTAAATTAAATAATGACCGAGTTATGAACAAAAAACTAAGTAAGATTTAATTTCTTAAAAATGAAAAAATTGTGATATTCGATAATATATTTAGCTAATTAACGAATTATATGAAAAGAATATTTTTTAAAAAAAAATTATTATACTCTCTAATAAAACGAAGTGCTAAATGATTTAAAAAAATTAATAAAATACGCAAACCTTTCAAATTTTTTTGTATAAACAAAGTTGATTGACTTATGTCTAAATCCAAATGACAAAAATAGATTTGTTTTAACTTTATTTCTAAAAATAAAAACAACAAGATTTATAAATTTAAAATCAGTAATAAAAACTCATTAAATTATTAGAAGTTTCATCCAAAAAGTTTTTAATAAATTAAAAGAAAGTAAAAAAATAACCACCTAGCAAATTCAATTCTTTATGGGCGCCTAAATTAGATTGCCGATAATTTTCACATTTAAAAGTAAAAAGAAGTTTTTTTTAAAAAAAAACTTATCTAATTAATGAAGAAACTCTTCTTTATATATTATTTTCAATAATAGATTGCCTTCAGAACAAGGTAACATCGGCGATCACGAAGTTAGTCCCACTGAAAATAATCTACAAGAAAAGTCACGACAAAGAAAAAAAAAAGCTAAGAGGTGCGAAAAGGAACATGCGATATAACGATATGTGTTTTCAAAACTCTGATTCTGATTCTACAGCTCACCAATCAAGGCCATTTCAACATAACGAAACGAACATCGTCTTCCACAGCGCGAGTCGACATCGGAACGTAAGAGAAGAGTCTTATATCGCTATATCGTTATCTTATATCCTTGCGTGTTGCGTGTCTTATATCGCTATATCGTTTTGCGCTCGTTGTCTTTACTCGAATGCTTAAATCAGATTTCTGATGCATCGCGTTGAATGAAAGTCGCTGTATCGTCTTGCCGATATATGCGTTAAATCGATATGTCTCGATACATCGATTTATAGCCCAGTCCTAGTTGCTATACAATTCTGAAACCTTGTGATGTCACCTACCTCCATTCAAAGTTTATCACAATAATCCTGGGACACCCATGTAGAAGAAAATCAAATGCATAAGAAAAATGCAAGCTTAAAGATGGGTGGCGTAGATAACTTTAGAAATTTTAAGTAGCATTTTCTCAGAGCAATGTTTTTCACTCTTGCGGAATAAATAGCTTAGCTTTTTCTATTCACATAAACATTTAACATCTTGTTAATTTCGAATGGAAATTCTACTTTACTCAGTAAATCAAGCCTTTTTTACCTTTTTTTCCTTCTTAAACGTAAATCACAGTAGCTTTTGATTTTATAATCGCAATACATTGTCTTAAAAATATATTTCAAGATTATACATAATTTTAGGTAGATTTTGGATTTTCTAAAACTTTGCCGAGTGGACTTAAAACATGGACATTCTGCGGTACACCTGAATACGTTGCTCCCGAAATAATACTTAACAAAGGTCACGATAAGGCTGTCGATTTTTGGGCTCTGGGGATCATGATGTATGAACTCCTGACTGGAACGTAAGTTACTTATCGCTTTTACTTGCTATTATCCATTATATAACAACTGTTTGAGATTTAAATTTGTTATTATCTACTTTATGATCAATACTTGTTATATTCGTACATTTGTCATTATCAATTTCACAATTAGTATTTATCATTTAGAGTTCTAAGATAAGGTAATAAAATTATCCGGACACTCATCTAAATATTTGGCCTGGTTTGGCTGATTTTCATGGTCTAGTCTGTGTCTCTTAGTTTCGTGGTTGGAAACATGAACTCCAAGATGTATATGGCCAGTACTTCTCTCCCAACTCTATGTCAATATTTCGGGAAAGGACCATTTCTTTTACACCAGAATAACTGCTCCATTCACACAACGAGACTCGTGCAGACATGGTTTGATAACATGGGCGTTCAATAACTGGACTGGCCTTCTCGGAATCCCTACCCTAATCCCATAGAATACCCATGGAATAAATTAGAACTCAGATTACGTAGCCAACCAAACCGAGCATCCTCATTGCTATCACTCACGTTAGCTGTGATGGATCAATTGTACGCCTACCAATTGAAAACTGGTGAAATGTCTTCCCATATATGTGCAGTCAGTCATCGTTTCAAAATGGGGACCAACATATTAATCTGTGCTAAAATCTCCGAGTCCATAGCACTGGGTGTCTGTATACTTTTGGACAGATTCGTTACCATATAATTATATTTTAAACCATATAATTATTTTAAACTTAAGAAAATAATAAAATAAATGTATTTCATATCTAAAGTGGTTTAAGGTATACAGTGTCTGTTTTTCCTAGATCGCTTTTTAATTATATGACAGTTTGTAAAACTTTATTACACTGTGGCGTAACTACCACTATGAATATTAAATACCAATTTACTAGTATATAAGATATTGTTATCTTGATTCCATCATGAGGTACCTTTTGATAGACGATATTTGACACAGTCGATTTATAATTCCCCTCAATGGCGACCTGTGGACGTTACGTTGTATGAACTTGCTAACATAGATGGATAGTCCACATTGAATAGTTGGTTTGCTTAAAAATATACTGCTCAATGAAAAGGAAACAAAATAATAAATTTGCGAAATTCTATGAAGAAAAAATATAATGAGCAAAATTTATATAAATAAATAAACAGCATGAACCAACTAGTGGTATTCGTTCATCGAAATCTATCACAGATAAAATTTTGGCGTAACTACCACTATAAATAATAAATACCAATTCTCTAGTTCATAAGACATGTTAACTTGATTCTATATTGAGGTACCTTTAGATAGATGAAGGTTGACTTAATCGGTTTATAATTTCCCTCAGCACCACAGAGATATTTATTTCTTGACATGTGAAATTAAACTCAGAACTTTATTTCTGTCACGTAATATTAAACGTATATATGATTTTGAAACATTAATTTTTGCATCGACTGTGTTAAGGCAAGTTACACAGAATAATGTATATAAATTACCATATTTATTAAAATGAAAATAAAGCTAGTTAATTTCAAAGCGAAGAATTAAATCTCACGATATTTATTGTAACTAAGATTTATTTCCCATTTCTATCTAAAATTTACGATGACACATTTTCGAGATTCAGATAGCACAGGAATTGGAAGGGAAATAGAAATGGAATTATTTTTTAAACAATGCTGCAGGTCTAGACACTGTTTTCACAAATTCCTAAAAAGTATGAAATAAAGTTGCATTAAAAAAACTTGAAATCATTTTACAATCTAGGAAGATTTATTTAGCCTTCATCGTTCGAGAGGTCAATGATTGCTCTGAGTAACATCAATCATTGGATGTTACTCAAACACTGGCTCAAGGAACAAGCTTCTGTTCCAAACGGTGGCTCATAATACTTCTAGCTACAGAATAGATCAAGTTTTTAAAATTGAGCAAAACTGTGTTAAAATAGCTCCGAAACAAATATCGTTAGAATTTAGAAACACGATTTATTTAAAATTGAAGAAGCATATGCTCATTTTTGAGAAAAATATACATAAAAAAATATATATGTGGAGGGGAAAAAGTCGAGATTTGTTGGCTGCGATCAGGGTTCAAACCAATCACCTCCGGGTTCGTAGTAGGATGTTGTAACCATCGAAGTTGTACATTCCACCCCAGGGAGAGTTAGGAAGCTTTGTATAGTGGCCTCAGCAAAGATGCATCATGAGGCACTAACTTCCGATTTCAATGGTACAATGGGTTGCAATTCGGAAAATATGGTCCGAATAGCTTAGTCAGGAGATCGGTAATTTTAATTTAATTTTTTGCTTATTTTACTATATCTTTAAAAGTTTAAATGAATGGAATGTACGTCATGGTGTCTCATCGCGGTGACCACTATTTAAAGCTTCCAAACTCTCCCTGGAGTGGGGTGTGCAACTATGGTAAATAGAGAATTCTACTACCAATCGGAAGGTCCTTGGTTCAATTCTTGCTAATAACCAAAGAACATCTTTCTCACACATTATACCCTCCACATATTACTCGAAAATGAGTACATGTCATTTCAATTTTGGATACATGGGTTTTCAAATTCGAATATTGCTTGTTTCGGCGCTATTTTGACATGTTTTTGCTCAAATCGGAGAAACCCTTTTTTTTTCAGAGTTAAAATGCGAAATATATTTTTATTATTCTAATTGTAGTGATAAAATCTACAAAATTAGCTAAACCCTTTTCGTTATTTTGAAACAAAAATGAACACAAAAGTATCACTAACAGTTAAAATTTGAGTTGTATAAATTACCGACAAGTTGTAATCTTTTATTTTCTTTCTTAGGCCTCCCTTCTGTGCTTTCGATCCAATGAAGACATACAAAGTTATTCTAAAAGGCATCGATGCTCTCGGATTTCCAAATTATATCAGCAAGCATGCTATCTCTTTGATGAGGAGACTGTGCCGAGAAAATCCCACTGAGCGGTTGGGGTACCAAAAAAGTGGCATAACAGATATCAAAAAGCACAAGTTAGTTCCTACTTAAGATAACATTTTTTTTTCCTCTTTATGAACCACATTAAGATAAGTATAATTCATGACCTTTAATTTTTTAATATGTTATTTCTAAATAATTTATTGAAAACTGTATTTAGGAGCTTGTTTAATTCATCACGGTCATTACAGAAAGAGGCAAGATATTTCATCTTTTTATCCTCTCTTCATCTTTAAGTCGTATTATTATTATTTTTTCTTAATTTCTTTCTTGACTTCTTATTTTATAATCCGAGAATATTATTTTAGTGTATAATAAATAGGCTGTCAAGTTTCTTATCAAAAGAAGTAGTCCTAATATGTTTTATTACATAATTATAATCATTTTTTTCTTTCTATTTTTATCCTTTTATTTTATTTATTTTTTGAAGCTGAAAAGAGAACTCTGTATCTTTTTATATTTCTTATTATTTATGGATAAAACACTGATAGTTCCAAATGATGTTCCTCACGGGAAAAATAAAAATATATAAAATAGACTACATATCTTTCATCATACTTACACTTTATGGATACTTAATTCTTCGAATCGTACGCTTACGGCGAATACAATAAATTTCATTAATAAAGTTGCAATTATTTTTTTCAAAGTAAATTTTTGAGTTTTTTATTATTATTTATAATTTCTATTTTTCTATTTTATAATAATTTTCTATAATTATTTATTATTATTTATAAAAGAGAAAATGCGACAGAAATAATATTTGTCGTGGAATAAATCATACGTTTGGCAAATAAACTCGACACAAAATAAAAATAAACTGAAGAACTAGATACACACCCATACTCAATCATTAATTCTTAAATAATTCTTCAAATCTTGTGCTAATAATTAATAGATTTAGTCATGCTTTTTATACTCCTGTATTTAAACAAATTTTTATTAATTCATTTTATTGAAATTCAAATTTATGTATTTTACTCTGCTTTTTTTCCGTGAATTTTCATTACCAAATTCTTATATAATTCTTTAAATCTTAAATCAGTTTATTCACGCTTTTTATCTTCCTTTATTTGAACATATTTATCAGGGCTCTGTTTAGAAGAAATTAGGGTCCGTTAACGGACCCTTCACAAAATATCTTTTCCTAAAAACGGACCCTTCACAAAATATTTTGACTTAAAAACGGACCCTTCACAAAATATTTTGACTTAAAAACGGACCCTTCACAAAATATTTTATCGTTTAATCAGACCCTTCACAGATTTGTTTATCTTCATTATTGTTTTGTTATTCGAATAAACCCTTCCCAGAAGGGGGGGGGGAGAAAGACAGATGAAGATTTTGTCTTCGGCAGACGCTTCTTCCTTTATTATTCGTCCGAAATGAATATTCCGCTTTCAGCAGTATAGGCTAAATACCAAATCATTGTATGTTGCATCACTAATTTAGTAGCTGCAATTGCTGTTTATTTTTTAAAATGCAATATTTTTAATTATAATTTTGCAGTATGTTGAGCATAATCTTGTATCTATTTACAATTTAAAAACTCCTTGAAAAAGTTTTTTTTGAAATAACGGACCCTATTTGCACAAATTCACAAAAGCGGACCCTGGTTGAAAGAATGTGGCTTAACGTTTATTTTATATTCACAAATTACGAGTAATTTTTTCAGACCTTAAAAAAACGGATCTTTCACAAAATGTCTGGACAGACCCCTGTTTATATAATTTACTCTATTCTTTTTATTCCGCTAATTTTTATCACCGTATTCTTATGTAGTACTTCAAATCTTATGTACTCTCTTTTTATGTTCTTTTATTTGAACATATATATAATAATTTGCTCTATTCTTTTTATTTCGTAATTTTTCATCACCGTAAATGAAACTCATTTCTTTATTATTAAAAATATAGTTTATCGATGTCAAAAATTTCTCACAGAAAAATACTCCTTTTGAAATGCTATTAAAAAATAAATAATTTATTTGATAGTTAATTTTTAATATTATTCATTATCACGGCTAATTTTTAAATTTTAATAATTAAAACATATAAATCAGTCTTCCTTCCGACATTTTATGCATAAAAATATATTATCGGAGTCGGAAAAAAATGAATTATATTTAAGTTTAATGCAAACAAAATCACTCTGAGGATATCAGATACGAAATATTTTTTTTAGGTATTGTTTCTTAAGTGTTGTAAAATAACTGATTACCTAGCATCACTTGAGAAATATATAACTGACATTATTCAGGTGGTTAAGTCATCATCATTATATTATCATCACATATGAAATCATTATCTGGAATTTTGGTTACGCATTATAACTTAACTAATTTGTGTGTGGCTTATCTGTACAAATCAACTATGTAATCTGTAATAATTGTAATCTCTATAAATAAACCTAAAACTAAATTAAATTATATAAAATTTGATTTCTTTTTTTTTTTTTTTTTTTCCTTTTAACAAATTCTTTGGCGGTAGCATCATACTTTTCTATTATTGTTATTATTCGCGACAGGAAATTAAAGTGATATTTTCTCATTTTTAATGTTGATTTTAGGTGGTTTCAAGGTTTTGATTGGGATGGATTGAGAAACCGTAACCTGATTCCACCCATTCAGCCAAAAGTAAGACATTTTAACAGCTTTTACAATTGATACTTTCTTTGTTCAGTTACTGTTAAGTCTATGGATTTTGTACGACAGTCAAAAATTTATTAACACACTTACTGAGAAATTTCGTAGATTTGCGTAAATTTCGGAGAGTTGGTGGTTAATTTATACGGTCAGCTAACTTTTTGAGAAAATGACCAGAACCTGTACTTGTTACTTCAACAAAATTAGAAGAGTTGATCGCTTTAAAGTCAATTCCTTACGTAAAAAAAAAAGGAAAAAAAACTGAATTGACAAATTTTAAAAAAAGTTAATCGTCTTTTCATCTTGTTGGAAATAACCGTTAATTTATACGGTTATTATGATAAGTTTTTTAATTCAATTCAGGGATGTAGTATACCCTTTACCATCAGATTACGGAGGAAATCTGGTTTCAGCATCAGAATAAGGAGACAAAGGTCCTGTGTGATAACCCAGCCGGTGTCAAAGATAATCTCTCTCGCACTTTCTCTACATTACGACAGTTCACAACTAACACGCAACTCTCTCACTCCTCGATAGATGGCAGCACTACATTATTTCACCTTGTTCCATGGTTCGCTTTGTTTAAACAACCAGATCACCTGAGTCGAAAGCACGTCAAGACCCCAATTGGAGATAACTTTCAGGAGAATAACGCTTAATTTACGTTTAGTGACCATACAAGAGAAAATTTACGAACAGACCTATATTTTTATGGTTGTTCATGGGCTGGAACACTTTTCGTTGGTCACTTACCATAATCTAGCAGCGATTTTTTTTTTCTTTTAATTTTTCCAATTTTATTAGATCAATGTAATATCTTGAAAAAAAATTTGTTTTGTTGTAAACTTCGGAAAAAATTTATTTCATTTTTAATGATCTCTCAAAGTGTTGTATCACTACTGCACACAATGAAAAAAAGCTAACTATCAAATTGGTTTCAGTATCAAAATAGAAAATTAAGGTAGAAAATTTACAGTAAAAGAAATGTCAAATTAATAAACCAATACAAGTTAAAGACTACATACCTGGGGAAGTAGATAGTGCCGATAAGTGATAAGTTTAATAAACTGCAAGCTGTGCAAAGCTTGAAATCTCATTTTCAACGTGTTCCTAATACATGAAATTATTGCAGGTTTTTGCCATATTTTAGTATTAGAATCGATGCAGAGTAAAATGCCACCTAGTGGCATTTTTTTACTTATTTACTTCTATCTTTTTATAATTTATTGAAAAAAATATTCCGAAATATGTTAAAAGATTCTAAGAAATATTTGTAAATTCCCACGATATTTCTAACACATTTTTATACCTCACTAATTAAACACTTAATTTCAATTAGTGGAGGTCGGGGACTTAAATTCATCGTTATTTGTAAACACTGATGAAATGAAACAACTCCTACATGCTAAAAAAAAAAAATAAAGAAGATAATAATTATGTTCTGTATTAGGATACTATGTTAAGATATAATGGGTGCTCTATTATCATTACCCTTAAGATATACACTTTTAGAATCATTAACAAAATTTTAAGTCAAAAAAAGTATGCACTTAAGGAATCGCAAATTAATATTAAAGCGAAGAAAAAACAAGAATGGTATCGTAATCTAACAAATCAATTCTAAGCGGAGGGAAAAAAAGAAGGCGTAAAAGCAATATAGCCTCTTTCTTCAGGAAAGTCTACATAAGAGGCGATGATTATAGAACACCTTATCTTTAGTCATTCCCCTATTTATCGACACCTGCATACTATTGGGAAATAACCCAATCATACATTATTTACGGGATATAATCCAATAAATTAGTTCTATTAATAAAGCGTATATTGTAAGTAAATCTTAATATATTTAGAAAACTTAACATATTAACAAATATCCAAGCGAGACTTAAATCGTGAGGTTGTGAGTAAACTTTTGAGTTACTCTTTAATAATTTTTTCAAACTTTTTAACTTTTTTCAAAGCTTTTAATGGGTTTCTAATTGTCATCAGTGCCTATTAAAATAATACTCTTACGGCCTAAAATAGTTAAATTAGAGATGAGATTTCAACTCAAATAATTTATATTTTCTTTCAAAGGTCAGAGATTCTACAGATGTGTCGAATTTCGATGTCTATCCAATCATGATAGAGGAATCTCCTCCAGAATTCTCAGGCTGGGACAAAGACTTTGACTGTTCTACGAATCGATGATGTTTTTCTGCTAAAGGTGCTTCTTAAGTCATGTGATACGCGTATTAAAGTTCCTACATCGCCGATAATAATTCTCGAGCTCAATCAGTATTAGAATATTGGTGTATGAGGCTACAAAAATGAAACTTCGATGTTAATGCACAAAGAGAAATGTCATTAATTCAACGTATTCATATCGGATTCTAATTTCAGATTCTAGAATCCTATGAGAATTCGTACTATCAAAATGTTCTGAAATGTGAATAGTGTGTTCTAAATGCTGACGCATGTGCTACAAGTCTCCTTTGTTGATTTCAACATATGAAAATCATCAGGCATCGTAATAAGTTTTAGATTGGAGTGTGTAATGCAAACTAAAAAAATTTAGAAATGTATTCCTACTATTAAGTAAATTTCATAGCAAATTTTAGCGCATGTTGATAAATTTGTCTTTCAATTGAACCAAACTGGGTTTGGTTCAATTGTCTGGGTTGTCTGAGTTTTTAAATTAAACTAAATATAAAATGTCGCCAGTTAAATGTAATTTTTCAGAAATCTTAAGTTTTCAAAACATGTAATTAATGTTTGTTCCGAAAAGTACACCCAAAAGACGACAACCTACAGAAAAATGCACAAGTTCAACGATTCCATATGAAATATAATGACGTAAAGAAATGAATTATGATAAATTGTAAAAAACGGAGTTGAAATTACTGGAGTTCATCGCAACCTCAATTATGTGAACTAAATTTGTTGTTGAACTTTCGATGCATAAGATAAAAAGTAAATGTGTCAATGGTTGCAAGTGCCAAAAAGTGCAGACATGTTTCTCGTGCTTAGTAGAATGAGAAATTCTACAAAATTAGTTAAACATTGAAAATATATGATTAGCATTTGCATCGGAATTCTAGATAGTGTGCACAAGCGTCGCTGGAGGACTTGTTTATTGGACGATGGAAGAGCTATAACTATCCTTATTTTCTACGTTAAGTTCTTACGTATTGTTACGTTACACGTAAAGTATGTTTTCAATATTCAGAGATTTTGCACTCCTCTCCGCTCAGTCCACTGCGTCTTTCCAATTGACTAGTTAAACCTTTTTTTCTGTAAATATTTACTTCGCATTTGTGCAAAATTAATCTGAAAGGAAGTAACGGTTATGGTGAAAGAACGCATTGGACCACAAGCACTGTAAAAAATGGATACTCGAATTTAACAAAACTTTCTTCATTTTTGACGAAATCGTCTCCTGGCATATGCTCGGAGCAAACATTTCGGCAAAGTGACGAAATAACTATCGTTATTTCTTTGGGGGAAATTTTTTTCCAAAAAGAAGGCAACATTGTAGCGTCTAATGTATATGACTTTCCAATTTTTTTTTTTTTTTTTTTAAAGAGCAGAAATATTTCGTCATTCTAGTTAATAATACACAGCGATAAGTTTCCGAGTTAAGAAAACGCTTTCGTCATACATTTAAGAGTTCACGTTTTCCACAAATCACGTGATTTCGTGACGAAATGATTCTCAAAATTGACGAAATACAGCTCAAGAACTGTTGAATCGTCAAAAGGGAGAGCTTTATTTCTGAGAAAGGAGGAGTGCAAAATCTTTCTGTTTTAAATCACACTTTACGTGTTAAATACTTAGCCCTGTAAGTAATCACTTCGGGTTTGCTTTGTAAATACTTACATGGCAGATTTTTTACTCACCATGGAAAGACGTAGCGAGGAGTGAAAGTTTTCTATCTTATAAGATGAACTTCATAGCATAGGAGTAAGCAGGCATTTTATATTTTGTACAGTGGGAAGATGGAACGAAATACCGTGAATAACTTATTACCGAATGATCGCGTTTTCACGTACAAATATGTGATCTAAGAGGTTTAAAGGGTAGAATGTAATGTGCTAATTGAGTACAAATGCTATTTTAAATCACAAAACTAAAATAAAAGATACTTGGAGAAATAGGCAGGATGCTTTATGTTCCTAACGACGTGAACAGGCTAATTAAGTGTAAATTTTTGAATTACCTTATAATTCAAAAATTTTTCGACTGTTATTAAATAAAATAATAAATATTTACTAAAATTTACTTTTGACATAGAAATTTTTGGATAAACGCATTTCATAATTGTGTGCAAAAAATTTTCAATTCGCTTAAAAAGTTCTCGAGATATTGCGAAATACGAAAAAAATAATATTAAAATTACTGGATCCAAACTTTGAATCACCCTCCTGATCAAACTATGGGGACAATATTTCCCATATTACGGCTACCCCCTATAATTTTTTGTCAGAAATCTGAATCCGTTGGAATAAAAGAACATTTATTCAGAAAGTACGTTTTTGTGAGTGATTTCTTAACTTATTCTCTTATTTTGTGTGATTTCGTAACTGCGTAAAATCGTTTGCACCTATTAATTAATTAGCATATATGAAGTCACGCCTTCAAACCATTAAAAAAGAGTCCTAGAACGTGAAGATCAGATCATTAGATCAAAGGTTATTCAGGGTAGTCTCTTTTTTTTTTTTTCACCGAATACGGCTCTCACCTTTTTTTACTTAGTAGAAGAAAAAAAAATTTAACATCTTCCTTACATTGTTTGCTTATCATGAGAAAGTTAATTTTCTCCAAATCATTAAAATGTTATTTACACTGTTGTTCTTCAAATATTTTAAAAAGTCATAACTAAACTGAGATGAATTATTATTTAAGATTGTTTTAAAATTACGGTTGTTATGAATTATCATATAAAATAAAGCATTTTTGTGCAATATAAGCGATTTATAAAACTGCTGTGAATTAGAAACAGCTTTTCTTAATCACCGTTTGGTTAAGCTTTGCACATTTTAAGTTAGTTCTCTCAAAGCTAATTCACTGCAAAAAAATCCCGGATCGAATTACTACCCCCTAGGTGTCGGTACTTTTTATAGTAAAATGTGATAGGAAAAAATCTGACAGTAATTTTTTGTAAAAATCAGAACAATTTAGAATTTGAGAAGAATTAGAATTTAAACAATTTTTACAGTAATATTTATTATAAAGTCACTGAATATAAAGGTAGTATTTAAATTTTCATTACTGCAAAATATGGGATCTAAAATTTTACATTAAAAATGGATTTTACGGTAAAATTAATTTCATGATGATGAACCCCGAATGTAGGTACTTTTTTGTCGTAATTTGATCCGGAATTTTTTTACGGTATGGCTCAAAATAGCATTAAGAGTCGATATCATGAAAAACCACAGTTTAGGAAAAATAAAAGTATTTGCGATTCTATTTTATATTATTTGAAAAGTTACTCCAAAGAAACATCATTTCAGCTCACAAAAATAAGTAAAATTTGAAAAAAATTTTAATTAATGATTTTCTTAACTTTTTCTAAGCAGAAAAATTTCGCGAAAATGGCGATTTAAAAAAAAAGTTAAAGATTATTTTTAATATTTAAACTAATTATCGAGATGTTTTGTGTCAGTAAGATGTATATTAAGTTCAAAATTAAAATTTTGCTCCGAATTTTAGGCCCTCCAACTATGGTTTAGAGAAAGAAAATCTTCGAAAAATATCCTTAAAAGATTATTTGAAATGATCAAAACGACAATTTTGCAATTCATAATAGATTGTTTTTGAAAATTTTTTTTTTTTTCATTTTTAAAGAAATACTTTATTGGCAAAATATTGTTCTTAAAAAGTTTTGTTTGAATAAAGTTTTTTCAATCACGAAAACCAAAGTTTTTTATAATATTAGTCAAATTTCTGTATTATGACACACACATTAATTTCTACTGTGAACATTTTGTAAATAATGGCATGCTTTATTACTTAAAAGTTGAAAAAACTGTATCTCAATGTAAATAAATGTTTCTTTACTGTTATTTTTTTAATTTTGCTGTTTGTTTCTGGAATGAACGGATTTCAAAAAATGTGAAAAATAGACAATATAAAATAATTAATCATTAAATTGGGAATTATTGTTAACAATATTTTGTTGCTTATTTTTTGTATCAATTTTAAACTACATAATTTAGATTTTGAATTCGTATCAAATTAAAAATAATAAATAAAAATACATCATCTTAAATGATCTAAACTTCAAAACACATATCCATCTATGGATTAGTAAAATATTTTTGAAGTATTAAATATCTAACAAATTGTTCATACTATGAGGCCTGAGCCGTGATGGCTCAGGGCATAGAGCGCTCGCCTTCCAAACAGGTAAACCTGGTTCGAATCCCGGCGATGACTGGTCGATACGAATTTCATATCCGGCTTGCATCGACCATAGTGCTGACGTAAAATATCCTCAGTGGTAAACGGATCATGGGTTAGAGTCCCCTTGCCGTAAGGCTAACCGTGGAAGCTTTTCCTCCCCATATAACCCAAATGCGGGTTAGTTCCATCAAAAAGTCCTCCATGAAGGCAAATTTCTCCCAATACTTGATCCAAGAGTTCCCTTGGCGTCTGGGTTGGGTTCAAAATTATAAGGCTGCAGAGTTGAACATCCAAAACTAGGCTATTCAACGACGGTTATAAAATAAAAATTAAATACTATAAAGCCTTGATTCAGAAATACTAAACGAAACTTATTATTCAAATACAAGCTTATGTTTAAAAAAAAAGTCTAATCAGTCGGATAATCCGCATGCGGATAATCGGGAGTTCACTGTACACTCAAGATTTTCAATTTTTATGGACTTCAGTTTTTTTTTTTTCTTCATGAGGTCAACTTTATTTTTTAATTTTTTTCAGAGGGAACAGAGACACAAACTGTCTCAACTGGAAAGGCTGAGGTCGGTAGGGCGCTGGGCCTATGTCCGAGAGGGCCCCGCCGGCCGAAGACTCCCCGTGTAGTAAAGTGACTGATGCACGTTAAATCTGTAGAGTCGAAAAAGTCCTCCATGTTCCCATAACAAAGCAATACCTCTGGGGGGGGGGTACTGGATTGGAGATCGATAGTTCTCTGATTCAGGTCAAAATTACGATCTGTGGATGAATGAATGGATGTATGAATGGGTCCGTCTTATAAACGGGTGCGACGCATGGTGTGGCAGAAGTCGAATTCTTGGCCATAGATGACGCCACTGAAAAACAAGAAATGCACACTCTGCCTTAAAATTTGCTCGGTTTCACCAAGCAGGCTTGCCCGTGTGGCAAGTTGCATTAGAAACGACAACAACAAATATTTTAAAAAATGGTTCAGAACAGTAAATTATCTCATATGAACATGAATAGATATTTCTTTATAATTTTTCACATTTAAAAAAGCCAATTTATCATTCTATACCATCTATGACTTTTTTCCTTCACTCTGCAACTTTTTTTAATTTTGAATATGTGTCTTGAATCACCAGAAAAATACAACAGTTAAAAGTATTTGCTACAGTTCAAAAGTAATTTGTAGTCACTACATTTAAGAAAATGTCGTTACAGTTAACTACATTTTTGAATTAAATAGTTTTGGTTAGCAACAAAAAAAAATTTTTTTTAGTTTTTTGGACCACTCTGAGCCTGTCTATTAAAACTATATTTCTGTGAGACAGATTTATCAGACACACTGAATGAAAAAGGCTTCTCTCCTGTATGAACTAGAGAATGTCTAATTAAATTTTTTTAATGGGGGGAAATATTTATCACATGCACTGCATGAATAAAATTTCTCTCCAATATGAAGAAGATTATGACTATTTAATTGTGATTTATGAAAGAATATTCAACCAAAGCAAGAAAATTGAATTTTAAAAAATTAAGAACAAAATTTAATTTATAAACAATAAGTCAAAATGGAAAAGTGCTGACAATAATGCAATACCTCAAAAATTGGAATAAATTTGGAATAAAAAATTGGAACAGTGAAACACAATAACATAGGTCAAAATAACACTGAGAAAAAAACTAAGACAGTCACATCTACATATGAGAAAATATGTAGATGTGTCAGTCTTTGCCAAAGAGGAAGTTACAGTTAGAAAAACCGAAATAATTTTAATTGTCAGATGCTTAAAACATTAAAGTGAAATCAAATAATAACAGAGCTGACCTCTTTCAAAAAACTTGAAGAGAGTAAAATTCTTGAAACATGAAAATAAAGTGCTGCCATCTATATTCCTAAGGGACAAAAAATCCAATAATGAATAAAACATCAAATTAATTTAACTTCTTTAATCATTTTGAATTTAAAAATTTTAAAGATAATAATAAGAAGGAAAATTATTATTATCCAAAGTAATGCTGAAATTTCTAAGAGATGAAGGAAAATTCGTTTTATTATTACAAATAAATTTTAAACTAAGAAATTGATTAACCAAAATATTTTAAACATTTTAAAGTATAAGTTGGAATGTGAAAAAATCTCTTAAACAAATATTTTTTGTGACATACT